TGAAAAGCGACTTTCAACATTATTAACCACTTTCTATAATTATTTAAGCCTCATAATAATTATTAGGGTCAATTATAGAATTATTTCCTAATTCTCATATTTAATTAATTAATTTCCTTAATTAACGGTGCGGGTTCTTACAAACTCTCGTAAAGTGGTGCTCCAATAATATCTGAATAGGGGTGTGCAAAAAAACTGGTTCACTTGTCCTGCCCTTGACCTGTCCAATAAATACCTACTTCCCACTTTTATTTGGGTCAGTTTTAGACCTGACTTGTTTTAATAATTACCCATTGATCCAAAACTTGACTCATACCCATTATGTTAAAAAAATCACAATTACTTTAAAAGAAAAGTTTTAACTTAAAATAATTACGTCAAATTTTTTTACGAAAAAAATTTCCATCAAAATTTTTTGCAAAAATTTTTTTGACAACTTTTTTATGGAATCTAAAGTTCTTCAGAATATTTCACAAAACAACATATTCATCAAAAAATTTGACGACACACATTTCCATCAAAATTCTTTACAGAATTCAAATTTCGGCGAAAGTTTTCGACGGAAACATTTTCGTTAAACTTTTTGACAAAAAAAAAAATTTTGCCAAAATTTTTAGCGAAACACATTTCCATCGAAAGTTTGCAACTAAATATTTTCGTTAAATTTTGACGAAACACATTTTCATCTAAATTTTTTGACGGAAAAAAATTTCATCAAAATTCTTTACTGAATTCAAATTTCGACGAAAGTTTTCGATGGAAACATTTCGTTAAACTTTTTGAAAAAAAAAAATTTCGTCGAAATTTTTAGCGAAACACATTTTCAACTAAAGTTTTCGACTAAATATTTTTGTCAAAATATTTCGTTAAATTTTGACGAAACACAATTCCATCGAAATTTTTTGACAGAAAAAAATTTCATCAAAATGCAAATTTCGGCGAAAACATTTTCGTTAAACTTTTTGACAAAAAAAAAATTTCGTCGAAATTTTTAGCTAATCACATTTCCATCGAAAGTTTTCGACTATATATTTTTGTCAAGTTTTTTGATAAAAAATATTTCTATCAAAATTTTCAACGGAACAAATTTCTGTCCAAAATTTTCATAAAAATTTTTGACAAAAAATATTTCGATAAAAAATTTCGACGGAAAAAATATTCTGTCAAAATTCTTTAGAGAATCTAGATCTCGTCAAAAGTTTCGAATGAAACATTTACATCAAAACAATTTCCGTCGAAATTTTCGTTAGAACACAGTCCTATCAAAATTTTGAACGAAAAGCATTCCGTCAAAAATTTTGACGGAATTCTTTTTTCGTTTAAATCCTTTGATGGAGGAAATCATTTTCGTCAAAATTTTTGACGGAAACTAAATTTCGATAGAAAACTTATTTTTTAAAAAAATTTCATAAGAGAAAAAATTTCGTCGCTTTTCGACAAAAAGTATTCCGACGAAAAAATAATTTTGTGACAGAATTTTCATCATTTGCAACGTAGAAATTTCGACGAAATTTTGTGAAAAAACCAAGTCAAAAACGGGTCAGGACAAATTTGACCCACTTTAGAAACCAAGTCATGTCAGATCCGACCCGGTTCTGAACTAGTTCAAAAAAATCCAAACCAAGTCAAACCTGACTTTAATCAAATTAAAATGGGTCAAATCAAAATGTCTGACCTATGAAAATTAAGTTGGGACGAGTCGGCACAAAAATCTGACCCGACTTGACTCATGCACACACATCTGACCACACAATTTACTTTACTGCTCTGTCATAAAGTGGTGCTCCAATAATATCCAAGTTCGTCTTCGTCGACATTCTCTCCCTCTCTCTCCTCCTTCCCGCGAAACACCACCCTGCCGCGTCCCCATCTCGTCCTTATCACCGATGATGCGGTCGCGCTGAACGAAGACATTTTCCCAGCCGTTGAGTTCTTGGACTCCTACTAGGGTCTCATAAGCAAGGGCGATCCTGGCTTCAAGTGGGTCAGACCCAACTCCGAGTGGGACCCAATAACTTTAAACTACACTTCAGGTACGACGTCGTCTCCGAGTTGGGGTGATGCACCAGGATGGATATTTGGAGATCAAGGATAGGTATAAAGACGTCACAATAAGTGGCGGATAGAACTAGCGTGGAGGTAGAGGCGGTACTGTATACTCACCCGGCGGTTAACGAGGTGGATAAATCTTTATTAATATTTTATAAAGTAATTTGACTTTGCAACTTTATCATGACTTCAAAGTTTCATGATCCGCCGATATGAAAATCAAAATAAGAGGGATTCTTCAATAGGCTGATTCTATTTTTTTAATATTTATTATATTTAATTATGGAGACAATAAATTACATTATTGGCAAACATATAAATCAAATTCTAATTAAATAAAAATATTAAGAAATATATAAATTAAATCCTAACTAATTACAAATTAAGAAATTTAGAGACATGAATTCCTTAAGCCATTCATAAATTTATATTAGTATTTTACAAAATAATTTGACTTTCATGTGAAATTCATGCTACTTTATCGCAATATTTATCCTTAAATACATTCACAAATCTCCATTAGTGTTTTATAATCATTGAATATGAAAAAATAAATTATAATCTTATTATTGGAAAATAAACAAATGAAATCTTAAATACAAATCAAAATCCTAACGAAGATTGAACATTACCCATGTGTAGGGTGTAAATGGGTTGGACTTTAGCTTAAATAGGTAGGCCTGTATAAAATACTTTCGACCTGACCTGATTTGTTAGCCTTCTGTAGGTCCAAATTTTAATTGTAGTTTGTGCTATATTTAAAAAAGAGTATTGGCCTAAACCTGTTAGCCTATTTAAGCTATTAGGCATTCAATAATTAAAAAATAATTAAAATAATAATTTTATTTCAAAATAAATAATATGATATAGGCTGACTTGTAAGTTTATAGGCCTGACACGTAAAAGAAAGCATATGTCCTATTTTCTAAATAGGTTGTTTTAAAAGTCTAAGCCTATTTTATTTGACTATACGTAATAAGTCGAGTTTGACCTTATGTCGACTGGGTCATAGGTCATTGTCAGACCACTTGACCCATTTACATATCTACCCATATGTCACGTTATGGGTATAAATGGGTTGAGGTAGGTCAAATTTTGATTTAAAAAAGTTTGGCGTAAAATATTTTGGACCTTACTTTATCTATTAGTATGATATAAGCTAAATTAAAGCCTGATTAGTTCTTTTTAAAAAAATTAAAAGGTTTGACCTAGTCATTAATTAGGGTGTGCATGTCAACCATTCTGTTTCCTGGCACTCTTTCTGAAAAGAAACAATTCTTTTCTATTTCTGTGCCTTGGAACAATTTCTGAGAAAAAAAATGTGTTTGATAACATGTTATATTTTTATTCTGAGAATGAGAATTGCGTTTGATAACACAACAAATAATATAATAAAAATTAATTCCTATCAAACATAATTTTTTTTGGATCATCACTTTCCTTTTCATATGGTGGCGGTGGTGGCGGTGGCGGCGGAGGTGGTGCTGACGGCAGTGGCTGCGGCGATGGTGGTGGTAATGGTGGCGATAGTGGTGGTGGTAGTGGCGGCGGCGGTTGGTGACATGGTAGTGGTGGAATGGTGGTGTTGGTGATGACATGGTGGTGGTAATGATGGCAGTGACTGCGACGATGGTGGTGGTGGTTGGTGACGGTGTGGCAATGGCGATGATAATGATGGTGGCGGGGGTGGGGGTGACGGCGACGGCGACGGCGATAGTGGTGGTGGTGGTAGTGGTGGCGGCGGTGGTAGTGACGGCGACGGCGGTGGTTGGTGGCGTGGTAGTGGTGGCATGGTGGTGTTGGTGATGACATGGTGGTGGTGGTGGTGATGGCAATGGCTGCGACGATGGTGGTGGTGGTGTTTGGTGACGGTGTGGCAGTGGCGATGACGTGGTGATGGTAATGGTGATGGCATGGTGGTGGCGTGGTGGTGGTGGTGGTTGTGACGGTGTGGCAGTGGCGATGACGTGGTGATGGTAATGGTGGTGGCGTGGTGGTGATAGTGGTGGTGGCGGCGGCGGCAGTGATGGTGGTGGGGACGGTGGTGATGGCAGTGGCTGTGGCAATGATAGTGGTAATGGTGGTGGTGGAGGTGGCGACGGTGATGGCAATGACGGCAGTGGCTGCGGCGATGGTGGTGGTGGCGGTGGCGGCAATAGTAATGGTGGTGATGACGGTGGCATGGTGGAGGTGGTGGCGATGACATCGTGTTGTTGGTGGTGGTGGTGACGGCGGCATCGGCATCCTGGTGGTGGTGGTGGTATTGACGATGACATTGGTGGTACAACGGCGGTGGCAACGATGGTAGCAGTGGTCATGTCGGGATGATGATGGTGGTGATGATGATGATAGTGGTGAAGAGTAATTGTGAGAAGTAAGTGTTTCTCATTTTGTGCTCGGGAACAAAAAAGCAGAAATTTTTTGATTCTTTTTTTTGTTCCCGAGCACAAAAATTAAACCGGTTCATCTCGAGAACAAAAAAATAAACCGATTTTACCAAACGAGTTTCCTATCCATTTTTTGTCCAGGGAACAGAAATTAAAAAAGAATTGATTCTGAAAAGGTTGTCATACACACCCTAACTATTTTAAGTCTATTAAACTTTCAACACCTTTCATGAATTAGAAAAATAAAACTAAAATAACATTATTTATTTAATAAATTATTTAAATATTATATTAATTAAAAATAATAATATGATATAAATCGTATGGACCATTCCTCGTATCACGTGCATCTACCATTCCAAAAAGTTACCCATTTACGTCAATGTTAGGCATATTTGTTAGCAAATATTCAGCATGCGACTGGTCAAGTTACGAGTACAAGGTCAGAAATTAAAAATGTAAAAAAATAAAAAATAAAGTAAAAAAAATTATAAAAATAAATAAATAAATGCATTGGTCTATATAAGGATTAAGGACATCCACTCCTTTTGCAGTGTGCATACAGAGAACTATCGCATTCCTTATTCTCTGATTTGCTTTTCCGTCTTCTTCTCTCTGTCCAAAATTATTTCGCACAAAAAACTTTCCGATGGCCACTGCAGGAACCAAGATTCTTTTCATCGGAGGCACCGGTTACATTGGAAAGTTCATCGTTGAAGCGAGCGTCAAGGCTGGCCACCCCACTTACCTACTCGTTCGAGAGTCTTCTCTTTCCAACCCAGCAAAAGCACCCATCATTGAAAAATTCAAGAGCTTGGGCGTCACCCTTGTTTTGGTACATTCATCGTTACGCCTATTATTTTCTTTGCATGATACATTCATCTTTACGCCTACTATTTTCTTTGCATGATACCTAGCACCCATTTTTCTTTTTTCTATTATTTTATTTTTCTATTTGTTGAAATACTTAAATTGGAAAACAGTGTTTGCTCTTGATTTTTATTTCCCTAAGGATGGGAGATTTCCATACTCAAACTTAATATCATGAAATTGTTCATCTTATACGCAGGGAGATCTGTATGATCACGAGAGTTTGGTTAAGGCAATAAAGCAGGTTGATGTGGTTATCTCTACCGTTGGTCACATGCAGTTAGCTGATCAAAATAAGATCGTTTCTGCAATTAAAGAAGCTGGAAATGTTAAGGTACATCATTAGTTTTTGAAAATTTGTTCTGTTCCAATTGTTGGTTATTTTATCAGTGATATCTTTTGGTTATTACAGTTTTAGTTATTCCACCAAAATATACTTGAACCACAGTTTTTGTGCTATTTTACATGAAGTTTGTCTCTCCCTTGATGATAGTAGATTTCAAGACGTTGTAATATAATCCTGAAACATGATCTTGCACCTTCTAATTTGAAAGCTGTTGTGGATGCCTCAGTACTAACTATTGATTGACAGAGAAATATAGTTTGAGCTTGTTATAATAATTATATTGTTTCGCAGAGGTTCATTCCTTCAGAGTTTGGAAATGACGTGGACAGGACTCATGCTGTGGATCCAGCAAAGAGTGCATTTCAGGTGAAGGCCAACATTCGCAGAGCCATTGAGGCTGAAGGAATTCCCCATACCTTTGTGTCGGCCAATTTCTTTTCTGGTTTCTTCCTTCCCTCTTTGTCACAGCCTGGAGCCAAATCTCCACCTAGAGATAAAGTAGTTATTCTTGGGGATGGAAACCCCAAAGGTTAGATCTCATTTTTTTCATTAAGATTAGAAATTTACAAACTCTCGCATCCACCTATTATTAACTTTTGCATGATTAACAGCTGTTTTCAACAAGGAAGAAGATATTGGCACCTACACCATCAAAGCTGTTAATGATCCAAGAACCTTGAACAAAATTCTCTACATCAGGCCTCCAGCCAATACCTTGTCTTTTAATGACCTGGTTTCTCTTTGGGAGAAGAAGATTGGTAAGACTCTTGAAAGAGTCTATGTTCCAGAGGATCAAGTCTTGAAACAAATTCAAGGTTAGTTAGTGAAAATTGTTCAAAAGATTCATAAATTGTTTTAATCAGTTATTTGTAAGTTCAGATGAATGCTTCTTTTACAAATTAGGACTTTTGAATATATGTTGGCTTTGACAGTTCCAAGTTGTTTACTTTTCTTGCAGAGTCCCCAGTACCCATCAATGTGGTCCTGTCAATTAGTCACTCTGTCTATGTGAAAGGAGATCACACTAACTTTAAAATTGAGCCCTCATTTGGAGTAGAAGCTTCAGAGCTCTATCCTAACGTCAAATACACCAGTGTGGATGAGTTCCTTAATCAGTTTGTCTGAGCAAAACATGCCCAGTTATGTCCTCTGTTACGAAGAAATAAAAAATAATCATGGAGTAGTACGTAGTGCATGGTGATGTTATAAGATAGGCACTACTCCAAATTTTATTTCACTGCTTACATATATGTCAATCTTAAGTTTAAAATAAATAACACTACGACATTAGTGTAATACCATTGCCCTTAATCCATGCCTGTTTGAAATATTTCAAGGCATTATCCTTTGAATAGTATGCTAAACACATCCTCTGTTTTATTCTTAAATTATATATAAGTAATGTTAAGAAAACAATTCTTGGATTAGTAAACGATAAAAAAAATAATTAAAGCGGTGGAACTTTGACATAAACATTTCGTGGGGGTTGTTAAAATTTTAGCTCTTCGCTTTGAAATTTAGATTATTTAAACTTGTATCGTTATTATGTACAAAAATCCAACTCCTCTATCCTTAAAACTAATAAAATTGCAGGACTGTATAAGGTTAGAATAAAGAGGAAAATCAAGGGAATAATTAAACGATTACTGTGTTAGAGAATAATATAAATTATTAAAAAGATTTTCTTAACACCTTAAGACTGTGTTGAAGTAGTACCTTCAGTAATCACAAAGTCAAGAGTTTGATCATCTCCGCCTTTCACTTTAGAGTGAAATTAAAACAAACACAAGGTAAAATAAAAAACATTGGGACTAATATAAATCAAAGGGCTCTTGTGTGAGGGGATATGTCAGAAAATAATATAAATCATTAAAAAAATCTCACCTAACACCTTAAGATTTTGGATTGAAGTGATTCTCTTGTATATCTAATTTAGATGTTCAAGAAAACAAATGTTCCCGTGAGAAAATCTAAATGCTGATTCGTAGGCCTCGTGTGAGTTAGGATTTATCGCCCTAATCAACTGTACAGGTGCCTATACAGGCATTTATTATCCAAATATATCTTAAAAGAACACTTTGACGACAATACTGATAATTTTTCGTATTAAATTTATTAAACATTATGAGAAATGTTTCACTTAAATTTTAGGGCCTGAACAATAGTTAAAAAAATCTATTATTTTCTCCAATTAAATATTTATTTTTGATTAAAATATAAAAAAAGTAATTGTAGTGACTGCAAAGCTCTTGTATGGTTCATTTTATTTGCTATATTGTTCTTACTGCAAGGGCCAAAACCCAAAACTTAAAACCATTAATCATTAGCTACGGGCACAAAGACAATAATGTTAGCAAAAATACGTGTGCAAATCAGACACCGAACATAATATATCTCGTGTGTAATTGTGTTCATAAAATAAATAGAAACCGAAGCATCAATTCAAGCAAAATTTCAAATTGAAGAAACTCACAGTAAGATAATTACATGACAATGCAAATAAATTTTAAACCCAGCCAAAATTATTTTCTTAAGATGAGTTGTTCCTTCCACCGATGTCCAAAGTCGTTGAACAATCATCTCTTAGGTTAGGATACAACATAATTCATCTTGAATTCTGGCATTATCAATTAAGAGCCCCAACCACATGCTTGAAGAATCGTAACAAAATATGAGAATACAAATATATAGGAATGAGGAGAAAAATAGTATGGAAATTCATAATCTTAAAAAATTTGATTCCGTTCATATTTATAAAAAGCAAGAAGTACCAATTTAAATAACACGTATTTGATTGTAAAAAGATGCATCTTTTCAACTAAAATTTCTTATTCATAACATCCAAATTTCTAACAAAGTGCTTCACTCAAAAAAAAAATTTGTTATCCCGCACCTAAGTAATTAAATTAAGGGCTAGTTTGTATTGGCTTTTCAAAAAAGTTCTTTTTATCACTTCCTTATTTTAAAGGTACTTTCTATAAAAGTTACAGCTATTTAGATTTTTAAAAAAATATTTGATTTTTGAAAAAAAAAAATTGGCTTTTGACTTCTACTTTTTTAAAAAGCTAAAATTTTTAACTTTCGAAAGGAGTAAGTTTTTGACTTTTTTTATGATTTCTGCTTTTTTAAAAGTAGGACAAACAGAATTTTTTCAAAATGTGCTTTTTTTTATAAAAAAAAAGCCTATTACTCTTAGTGATCAAGAAAGCTTTTCCAAAAAGCTTTCGGAAAATGCATTTGGTAAAAGGACTCATTCTATTCTATTCTCGATTGTCGTGATTCTCTTTTTGGTTTTCAAACAGCATTTGTCATTTGTCATTTGTGTGGACTATTACGCATTCCATGTGTTCGTGGTTGAATATTCACCATCAAACAAATTCATTTCAATTCACTGTTGGTTGATTGTCGTTTTCGTGTTTGAATATTCACCGTCAAATTCATTTCAATTCTTGGTTTTCGTGTTTGAATATTCACCATCAAATTCATTTCAATTCACTGTTGGCTGATTGTCTTTTATATATATATATATATATATATATATATATATATATATATGAGCATGTTATATTTATAATTTTTTATTTACAAACTAAACTATCTTCTCTCAAAAAAACACTAAGGTACAGTATGTTCTCCCGGGAGAAAATAGTGTAATTTGCAAAAATTTGTAAATAAAAGTTTGTAAACGGATCTTTTTAATATGATCCATGTCCATCTATGATTTAGTAGTCCAAGCCAATGAAAAATTGATATTTTCTGACTTGCTTAAATGGAGGAGAGAGAATTTTTTTTTTTCTCTAAGTGTCAGCTCCTCAATGAAAGGAATAGATGTGCTAGAGTTACTATAAATAATCTCATATATTATCAATTGCTTTACGAATGTTTCAGCTGGAAAAAGTGCCATATTTAATAAATAATGAAGGTTAAAGGAAAATGTTATATTTACAAATTTATTATTTACAAATTTATTATTTACAAACTCTTATGAATTATACTATGTATTCCCGGAAGTATATTAAGTTATACTATGTACTTACGGGCGTACATAGTATAATTTGTAAAAAAAATTATAAACGGATCCTTTCCTAAGTTATATTAATAATTTTTTTTAATTTACAAATTATATTATGTCTTATTGATAAGACTACATTCAAAAGTGTTTTAACGATAAAACATAGTTTAGTTTGTAAATAAAAAATTTATAAATATAATATTTCACATAATAAATATATAAAGCTTTTAATTGCAATTTCAATTCACGGTTACTAAGGAACCGTTGAATTGTATGTGATATGTGTATACGAAAGCCTTTCGGCTTGGTTAAATGCTTTTGACCAATATTATTAAACTCGATTTGGGTATCGACTCAGTTGGGATACTAGATCATTGGTCGAATCGGTAGATCATTGATCGGACCGATTGACTTGCATATATATACATATATATCTATATATATGTACATATATACATATATATATAGGGAAAATTATTTCTCAAGCTGCTTGAGATAAATTTATCTTCGGCCACCCCAAAACTACGTCGTTTTGATTATTTATTTCCTCATATGTATTGATTCACCTTTGAATGGTTATGATTCCCCTTTTCTCTCTCTTCCTTTATCACCATTGATCCATCTTTGTACGGTTATGATTTAGTAGCCGGAGATAACTTTATCTCCGACAGCTTGAGAAATGATAAGCCCATATATATATATATATATATATATATATATATAAATTTAATTATATTTTCTATATCTAAAATGAGTTAAACAAGGTTCACTAAATAAATTCAAAAATTACTCAATCACACTTTTACAAGTTCATAAAACACAAATAAATAAAAATGCATGCTATTACCATATCAATTTAAATTGCAACTCAAAATCGCCATAAGCATTCCTCTCAATGACATTCAAAAGGCCAAATGTTGTGAACTCATATTTTCAAATTCATCTACATTGAAATGACACGTGTCACATTCTCTTAATTTATTATTCCGCAAATTGCTTCAGTATTGGAAGCTCAAATTTGAGGTCATTGTAAAAGAGTATACTGCTAGCAAATAAAATTACAAAATTTTTAAAATGAGTTCTACATTTTTTCTAACAAGATGAAACAATTTTTTGGATTTTGGTTTTTTTTTTTTGTAAATGCATGACCCGACCAGGTTACCAATTTTGACCGGGTTTGGCCTGATCAGATGCATGACCGGGTTCCGGGTCGACCCGGGTTTCACAACACTTCTTTTGGCATCAATGTTTTTTATCTTGGCTAATATATAAGTTACCCCCTTAAACTTTGACCATGTTTCAAATTACCCCATTGTACTTTTAATTGTTTCAATTAACCCCTTGTGCTTTATAATTGTTTCAAATCAACAATTCTGTTAAAAAATTTACAAACGCTGTTAAACCTCTTCACATGCCCTAAGCCCCAAATCTCAAAAAGAAAATTCTCTATTTTCTTTTACATTCTCCTATCTCTTATTACAATTTTCTTTGGATCTTTTCTCGGTAGTTTGGGATGTTTAACTTTTACCCAATGAATGCTGACAAGTAGGTTTGATATGAAAAATATAGAAGTTGCAGATATTATTCTTGAAATTAAAATCCATAGAATAAATGATGAATTGCCACTATTTTAGTGTCATTACATTATTAAGATTCTTGAAAAAGTCAAGAATCAATAAATTTTGTTAGTTAAGACTCCAGTAGATGCAAATATGCATTTCCATAAGTATATTGGTATAGTCGTATGTATGCCAAAAGGAATATGCTAGTGTTCTAGGTAGTATAATGTATGTTATGAATTGCACTAGACTATACATAGCATATGTTGTGAGATAACTAAGTCGTCTTACAAGTAATCCAAATGAGTCTCATTGGAAAGCAATGGTTCGAGTTTTGGGATACTTGAAGCATACTCAAGATTATGCTTTGCATTATGAGAAGTATCCAATTGTACTATGATGGAACCCAGAAAATTATAACATTGTATTTACTAAATCAAGAGATTATAAACTCTAATTCAAGATTAAATGTAGAAAAGATAAACCGAAAGACCTCATTCACTCTCCAACACTAACATACCTAGCCCCAAAGAGATCCCAAGAAATCCTTTCCCAAAATCCCACTCCAATTTCACTAAATACATGCATAAAGAAAACAAACCCTAAGCAACTATATATACTAATTCCTAACTAATGGGCTTGGATGTAAAGTACCTCCCTACGTCTAGAATTACACGAAAAATCAAAAGAAAATAGAAGAAGAAGATTTAAAGAGTTCTCTCTCTCTAGATATCAAATTTAACCATAATATTTAATCTTCAGTGATTTTGACTCTAATACATGTAATATCACGCTTTC